CTCGCTATCGGGCCCAATCCCAGGCTCCACTACGAAATTTGGTCAAGCGACGGGTCACGTCTGTCCGGGCGACAAGACGCGCACTGGAACCTTTCGGAGCGGGACGCCGCAGACGCCGAATTTGCGAGAGCTCAGCAGGCGCGAGATCGGGCGATGCAGCGCGCCATCGAGCTAGCAAAGCATGGGGGGCCCTATCACGTCCCCCCTCTTGGCCAGTGGGCGCATGTCTGGAGAAGGATGGCCTGCGCGCCGGCCTGCTCGGATTCCCTGGGTGTCCAGCGGGGTCCCCAGACCGGCCCCGGCATCGTGGTCCCCCAGGAAGGTGGCACCGTCTGGGCGGCGAGTCGCAATCGCATGCGAACATATTCGGCTGGCCCCAGCCAGCGCGGAGGAAGAATGCGGGCTTCAGTTGGGCCAAGATCCGCAGTGGACCAAGCTCTTGGCCCAATCTCAGCAAGGAAGAAGTTCAGCGGTGGATGTTCAGAGAGGAGGCGAGGCTCGGATCGCTGAATCGCTGCTGAGGACGACACCGCCCCTCGACAGCCGGGCGCCTCTAGCGCCTGGCGCCGCCGGCAGCAGCATCGAGCCACGCGCGCTGGCTGGCTCCAGGAGGATCGCTCAGCATCGCCCCCCTTCCCCATCGACCCCGGCTCGCGCCCTCCAGGGCGGCGCCCTCGGCGGGTTCGAACGCGGCCAAGCCATCCACTCGCTCGCCGTCCATCGCCGCGAGCGAACCAGGATGCGCGGACAGCCGTCGGCAGGTGTCAGATGCGTCAGAGACCCCGGCTCCAGGAGCGACGAACCCCTCGCCCCCTGCCCCCTCGCCCCCTGCCCCCCCCCGAGGAGCCGAAGAGAGAGCCAGGCTTTTTTTTTTTGTGAGCACGAGGACGCGGTCCCGCTGCCCGCTGACCCCACTTCGCCCCCCCTCGATCCAGGAACGCCGCCAGAGACTCGGGGGCCGTCGGGGCTCGGAGAGAGAACCACGGCAGGCCGCGAGGGCAGCCGCTCCGCGCCAGAGAGGGCGCGGGAGCGGGAGACCCGAGCCGAGAGCGAGACCCCCTCGCAGCATTGACGAGGACCCTCCGGGGCAGGGTCTGGCGCGCGGCGAGACCCAGGGAGGTCCGGGTGGAGCCGCTCGGAGAGACGATCGATGCGGCTGGACACTTCCCGAGCTGGGGACCCGGCGCGCCCCCGGTCCGCGCGCGGGGCCCGGGGCTTCTGCGGTCGGTTGCGGAGGAGAGGTCCCGCCTGCCCCGCCCGGCCTCAGCCCAGAAAGCCAAGTCCGAGATGCCAGGTTGAATCGGGCGGGCCAATCTGGCCAAGTCGGGCGCCGCGCGAATTGCCTGCGAAGATAATGCGAAAGACGCAGCCAGAACGAATCACATCTTCGACGATGGTGAGACGCTGGAAGCCTCACGAGGGAACCTTCACTGAGCCCACGGCCAAATGCAGGTGGCGCGTCTACGGACATCCAGATCCAGACACGAGGCCCATGGCCGCGCGCGCCCCTACCCCCCAAACGGCATCCCTTATGATGCTTATGATAAAGTCATGATCGGTGATATCGCAGACATGAATAGCGCGTTTTGCCACTCGAGCCCGATGACCCGCGCGGGCGGGGCCATCCACGCAGAGCCGCGCGGGGGAGCCCTCCTCGAGATGGGAGCCCTCATCGAGCTTCGCGCCCGTTGCCTGGAGAACGACGGTGACCACCACGGATATTTCCGCGGTCTACTAAAGCCGTGCTGGTGGATGAAGTACGATTCCCGTGGAACTCTCGCCGGCATGATATTGGTCGAAGTTGATGACTTCTTCAAAGCTTGCGCCACTCCCGAGGTGCGCCAACGGACCCCGGCCCTCCTCAAGAAACATTTTGGTTCGGGAAATATTGGGACTTCCACGAGTTCCCCGTGGAGCATTCCAGAAGGAGAACCACTCGCACGCCTCAGCGCATTGCACTTGACCAGGAGACACACACACACACAAAGACACACACCCACACAGATTAGAGGAGTTGAGGTGACCCAGGCGCCTGGTAGGCTGGCCAAGAAAGACACCCCCTTGGATTCCTCGGAGTTCAAGCAGCTGCGCTCGCTGATTTACAATCTGAATTGGGCGGGCCATGAGTCCAGACCCGAAGCTGCCAGAGTAGCCAGCATACTTGCCAGTAGTTCGAAGAAGCCGACAGCGCGGAACGTTTTCCTGCGCGAACAAGCTCGTGCGCCACCTTTGGGCCACGGCCTCAAGGGGCCTCTCGCATAGGCGTTTGGACCCAGACCTCGTGGCCTTCTTCACTTTCTCGGACGCGGGCGGGGTTGGGGCTCGCGTTTCCAGGGTGGACCCCAAAAGGCCACGGGAAAATCGTACCTAAGGGACTTGGATGGCGCTGGCGACCGACAGTAGTGTTTTAGATCACAGGTCCGGGCGCGCATCAATCCTCGGATGGAGATCGTCTAAGTTGAGAAGACAGGTAACTTCCATTATCGCGGGAAAGACTGGCGCGTGCTTCAGCAGTGGCGGGGGTGGAGTACCTTCAAGTTGTGTGCCACGACGCGGTGTTCCGCGGCGCTGACATTCCAGGTTGCGCGCGTGTCCTCCCTTCTTACTACGGTACTTCGACAAGACTGTAGTTTCGGCCATAGAGAAAAGCAGTTACATGTGGTAGATGCTAACAGTATGTACGATACTATGGGAGAGGACGGGGCAGCTAGTGCGCGCGATCGGAGAATCGCTCTGGATTTAGCTGTAATGAGTGAGTACTTGGAACGCCCCAGAGGCTCAGCGGGATGGGCATCACGCTCCCGTATGCCCGCTGATCTTTTTTACCGCAGATGACAACACAAAGGTGAACGCCGCCCTTTTTAATTTCATGGCTTTCGGAAGGCTGCTCCTGGTAGCCGAGTCTGAGGAACGACTGGGCAGGAAGGAGAACCCAGCCCAGAGCAACAGTTGTTGTTGATTCGCGGGTCGACAACGCGCCTCTTCCGGTCGAAGCTAAGCCGGCAGCCCAGGGCAACAGGTCCCAGGCCGTATCGCCCAAGGTTACGAGGGACAACCACCGCAAGATCTTATGGGAATTTCGCGGGCGTGAGGGTCGGGGCCGCCGCATCCCCACCCTAGCCCGACCTGTTTTTTTTGTCTCACATTATATAATATAATGTAATATAGTATAATATAGTAAAGGAGCATATAATGTAATATAATATAATATAGTAGTGTGTAATATATTATAATAACATATAATGTAATATAATAGAATACAATGTAATATCATATAACATAATATAATCTAATATGATATAATATAATAACATATACTAGAATATGATATAATATAGTGTAATATAATATAATATAATATAATATAATATATAATATAATATAACATAAGATGATATACTATAATACAATATAAATAATATAATATAGTATAATATAATATGATATCTTATAATATCATATACTAGCATATAATATAATGTAATATAATACAATATAACATAATATGATATAATATAAATGGTCCAGGGCTTGAGCCCCCCCCTCCCCCCCAATGCTGATGCCATTGGGCCCCCCCCCCCGCGCGATGGTCCCCCCCGCCCCCCCCCTGCGGGCGTGGCGTGGTGCTGCGCTGCGGTGCCCCCCTCCCCCCCCTGTGGATGTGGTGTGGTGCTGTGGTGGTTCAGAGGTGGGCGTGGCGTGGTGCTGCGCTGCGGTGCCCCCCTCCCCCCCCCCTGTGGATGTGGTGTGGTGCTGTGGTGGTTCAGAGGTCGTCGTCGTCGTCGTCGTCCGTCGTCGTCCTCGTCGTCCTCGTCGTCCTCGTCGTCGTCGTCATCGTCGTCGTCGCCGTCGTCATCGTCGTCATCGTCGTCGTCGTCGTGGTCGTCGTCGTCGTCGTCGTCGCCGTCGTCGTAGTCGTCGCCGTCATCGTCGTCGCCGTCGTCGTCGTCGTCTCTGGGACCATACCATCTGGGGGGGGGGGGGCCCGAGGAATCCTAGGACCATACCATCTGGGTGGGGGGGGGGCCGTGGGCCCGGAGCCCGGGATCATATATAGATCTCTCTCTCTCTCTCTTTTTCTGTCCTTCTCCCCCATTTCCCATGCGTTAGGCAGCAGGTCCAAGACCCGCGAGGCAGTTTCGAGCGTTTTGCTATCATAGATGTGTTCCCCTTGATATGTACAGATGTTTTCAGCTGCTAAACCTTCTAGAAGAGCTGACCAGTGTGATGTTGTCCCCGAGTTCGCACTTAGGTTTAGCATTTGGGTAGATTTTCCCTGGGGCCATGGGCGGCTGGGCCTCGAGAGTTGCGTCCGTACCGTGACGGCTCAAATCTAAAATCCTCATTCCACACCCGATCTCGGCGCCTCTTGGGCCGTTTGGGGGCCATCTTCTCTTGGAGGCCTCTTTGGGCCAAAACTGGCGCGATCTTGGGAGGCTACTGGGCCGTCCTGGAGCGCCAGGAAGCCGCAAAAGCGAGAACGTCAAAATCTTGCAAAAGAGATGTGTGCCTCTTGTGAGGCTTCTTGGGGGACTCTGGCGTCTTGGGGACATCTGCGGCCGTCTGCCCGCCAGTTTGGGCGTCTTGGACCGACCTTTCGTCGATTCGGGACCTTCTTCGGCCGTCTTGTGGCCTCTTAGGGTTTTCTTGGCCCTTTGAGGGCGCTCTTGGCGTCCCGAAAACTCAGGCGACACACCCTGGCAGGGTGTGGGACCGCCTGCGAAACTCGGGCTCTGGGCCCTCAAGAACCCTTAGGAACTACAAACCCTTTATCTCGCAGAGCTGCATGAGCCTCGGGGCACTCCCCGACGTGCCGAAGGCACGGCCTCGGATCATACGCTCCCAGGCTGCGCTGGCCCATTGGGCTCGGAACGAGCTTGACAGCATGAGTTGCCCCTGAATTCGGGCCGTGACGTCCCCTCCCCCCGCCTTCATCCTCCTCCCCCGTCCCCGCCTCCGCCTCGCCTCTGCGTTTCCTGTTTGGCCCTGGCCGGCTTCAGGTCGAGAACGGCCAGGTGACTGTCATCTACAAGTTCCCAGACGGGGGCGAAGGGACACCCCCCGCGTCCCACGCGTCTCTCGCTCTCTCTCTCTCTCTCTCTCTCTCTGTCTCTCTATTTCTGTCGAGAGGCTTGATGGAAGCGGTTTGGAGCTAGGCTGTCGTTTTTGTCTTTTACCCCAAATTGAGCGGGCCACGTCATCCGCTGCCCAAGCGCGGGGTTTTTTGTTCAACGCACTGCGTGAGCATATGCTGTTGAAATATGTTGCGGTTCGGTTTAAACGATGATGTGTTGTGCATTTTACTGTGGTGTAATGGGGAATGTGGTCTGGTGCGGAACGATATGATGCATGGTAGCAGTACGAACAGTGATAGCACCAAGTGGGACACATTGCAACTCAATGACGCCGCGTTGATGCAGACATGCTTATGCATTCACGTGCAAACGCACAGGGTATAGTAGTGGCAACATGCATGTGATTGCTGGAGTAAGCTTACATGCAATGCAAGTCAATGTGATGCATTGAGATGTTCAGTTGAGCAGTGCAGAGACGCGTTTCATGCTTGGGTCAACGCAATGTGTTGGAGCGTATGTTCGCGCTTCTGCCACCGAATGATACCTCAAATGTATGTGACGTGAGGCACAGTCAGACAAAGCTGTGTAGTAAATGCCCCAGACGAAAACATGTACCGATGATGAAATTGCATCAAACATGCAAGGATACGAATCAGCTGAGGAGGTAAGAGCAAAGAGAAACGTGATCAAAGCAAGTCGCTTAAAACAAATAAAGCTTGAGGGATAGGGCCAAGTGTAGTGCCATTGAGGTGGCGCGTCAAAAGTGGAGAATGAAGCGTTACAGTTCCAATGCCGGTTACGCGGTAATGGTGATCCGTCACAGGTTGCGTGGAACGTATGACCGACGAACATCTAAAAGTTCAGAGTTGCAGGTTGTAATGCAGTGGTAATGTTGAAAGTGTACATGGGCGGGCTCAAAGTTCTCAGTGTGAAGCGTCGGTTGAAAACGAAATACCAAAGTGAAAAAGAGAAGGCGACGTTGAATTTCCATCTTGCGTTGCAATGATCGGCTTCTTTTCCACAGTTTGGAACTTCTTAGCCGAGCCGAATTGAACGTGAGTGATCTGCCCCATGGTAGTTTGCACGACCGCGCATATGAATTGCAGGGATTACCCGTACGAGATTTCGGGAGGAGCTAGGGTGAACGCATCCATGGGAAGGGAGGAGGATGAGAAACACACCTGCACGAAGACAGGGTTTGCCAAAGGCGTGCGCAGTCGGCAAAATTTGCTCACGAGTTCGTGCACGATTGGTTTCGTTCACGTGCGTACCCCTTGTTGCGTTAAAACTATATCGTGCTAGGTTTAGTCGAAATTCTATGGTGTTTACGCGTCTGTGATTTACTGTGTTCACGCCGTGGGAAGAGGCACTGGTCCGCTAGGTGGTGGGAGGGAGTTATCCTCCAGGGTCTCACATCGGAGCGCTGAGAGGCCTTCTCGGATTGAAAGCGATGTCTAGATATCCAGTTGCATTGCCAAGCACATCAGCCGTCGCTTTTGGCAGTGTAGTTGGCTGCGCAGGATGGAAGCCAGTTTCGTCATATATGAATACCTATGGAGAGCGGTTGATCGATGTTTGATCATGTCAGGTTCGGCCGTGTCGCTGACATTATGATAACCGCGAGCGTAAGTCGGGAGATGCGGTTTGGGATTCGTTCGTGCCGTTAGCATAGCAAATAAGTGTCGACAGTGTGGTCGAACATGCGCACAGCTGCACCATGACATGTCACAGTAGCAGACCTCGACAAACTCGAAAGGTGGTCGCGGGATGTTGCGGGGGCATCGGATACTAGTGGATAGATCTCGAGTATTACGTGGCATGTTCGGTCGTTTTGCGGCGACCATGCGGGGCTTAA